TGCATTGTGTTTGCTTTCATGGCTAATATTTTCCTGGAGTTTCTGCTGCGCTCTGCACAAATAGGAGTGTTTGTGATTATCACTCTGCCCAACAGTTGGCACTCCCTGGTGCCCAACCTGATGCCAACTGGTGCCTGAAAGATGCAATGGGCGTTGCCAGGCATCCTGCTCTGACCCACAGATAACATGCCGGCTGGGGGATTCTGGGAGCTGAAGTCCACACATCTTAATGTTGCTGAGGCTGAGAAACCCTGCCAGTGGGAAGAAACGGGGAAGGTATGAATGTCTGCTGCACAGAAAAGCCCCATTTCAGGGCTGACCTAGACTCCCTTCTCCGTGTCCAGACACTTAGCACAGAGCAACTCTCCCACTTGGCCTCGATGGCACATTCTGCCGTAACCGCATTTCAGTCTAGTGGCCTACCCAGACGACAAACTAGATTTAAAAATGAGTTGATGTGGTGGCTGAGTTTCTAGAACGCCTTACGTTGTAAACCTGGGTAAACAAAGCACCGTGACTGAGTTCAGACATGCTAAACCAGTGTGTTTCAAACCCGGCAACTTTAAGATGTGTGGACTTCAACTCCCAGAATCTCTATTTATTGTGAACTAGTTATTTATAATATTAAATAAATATTTATTTATTGCTAAACCAATAAATATCTTGTGACTCAACAACAGGGCATTTCAGTAAACCTCAAGATGACGTTTGCTTGCTTTCCAGAAGCGATTCCTCGGCCGCAGCCAGACCTTTGTTCTTAATTGCTGGGGAAATTGGCCAAGAATTGGGAGCCTCCTGTGCTTTTTCTCACACTTCTCTGTGACAATTCCTAAGCACGTATATGCCCATTTGAGCACTAGAGGGCAAAGCAGGAGCAAAGGGTCTTTATTTAGACCGGAGATTAGACTTGCCGCAACCATGCTGGTCATCCCGAAGGCCTCGAAGACCTGGCTTGCTGGCGGAACCCGCATCATGTTTGTGTTAATTCCTGTTGGTTGTTTTTTTAAACTTCAGCTGCTGTATATTTCATTTATTGCTTTGTTATCATTGTTTTTCGTCTTGCTTTTTAATCATGGTTAAAGCCAGAGGCGTGTATTTGAGACGGGCGGCTGTATAAATCGAATGAATGAAATGAACGAATCAATGGACGAATGAAATTCAGCCTGCTGGGTTCGAACACATTCCCGAACCAGACCGAGTGATGCCCCTAGAAAAGACGACAGCCACACCCTCGATATTTATAAAGCTCTTTTTACCGAGTTACAACAGAGAAGACGGCAAGGAGAACGTTTTGCAGAGTCTCTGGGGTGGTCGGCTTGTGCTGGTCTGCAACGGGCCCCTTCATGGTGGAGACAGAGAGCAGGTCAAGGGAGGAGATCCAGGGGAGGCGGGGAACCAGCCGTGAACGGACGGAGGGGGCTACACATGCAAGAACACGATTGCACACCACATGCGGGGCGAGAACAGCAGACCCTGAACCCAAAATGGCAGACCCGGTGCTGTGGCGTCCCGCCTGCTCCCGTCTACGTGGAAAACCGGGGTGTCTGCGGTGAAGCTGGTGGCCACGACAACGTGATCGAAGCTCTGCAGAGCTCTGGCCACACCATGGTGGCCACCAACTTCACTGTTTTAAGCACACCCTGCAGACACCCCGGGTTGAAAATAAGCAATGGCAGGCTCCAGGGGCCACAGGGGGGTTGTTACATCCAATCGTGCTGGGGTTGAAGGATCAAACATCATTCACACACACAGAGAAACAGACGGCCACGTGGAGCAGCCCCAGGAGCCCAACAATACTGTGTGCAATGCAGCAGCACGGTCGGGCCACGAAAGAGGAGGAAGGAAGCAGGCGCGTGGACAAAATGCACAGATTGTGCCTATCCTGAGATGGGGAGAAATGAGCAGGAGCTCTGAGAAAAATAAGAACGGGGAATGCAAAGGGAGGCATGTTCTGCCTCGGCCCCTCCGGAGCATCAGTGTTAAAAGAGGCTCTAATATTGCTGGACAAACAGCCTCGTCCCACCCAACACCCTGCTCTGACTTCCATGCTCGTGGCACGCGATTCCCCGGGAAATGCACGCGGTATTTAAGCTGTGGGGGTCAGCCACCTTTCAAAGGGCAGAGTGGGGATCAGCAGGGGCTCTGGCAGGCGAGGGGCTGCAAAGGGGAAGGGCTCTCGGCTCCATTTGGCCGGGCTCCCAGACCAGGCTGGGCTCAGCCAATGCCCTGACTCCTCCCTCCCGAGCCCTCTCAGCCGTTCCCGGTGTCCCCCCCAGTTTAGAAAGAGGGCAGTTTCAGACCCCCCAGAAGCAGTGCCAAGACTTGGTGTGGTGATCCAGAGATGTCTTGTCCCACCATCCTGGGGCCAAGAGCTGGAAGCAGATACAACTTGGAAGCCCAATTACTGGACCGTCCTCCTGCTCTTTTCGGGGGGGGGAGCATGGCACAGTGCAAGCCAGGGGGGGATTCAAAGAGGGTAAGGGGGGATGGGCAGCTAAGGGCCTGCCCTGGCTGAGATGAGCTGGCCCTTCCCAGAAATCGCGGGGGCTGGATCCAGAGGCTCCTCTGAGCAGTCGGGTTGGGAGGGGGTGTTGTTGCTCAGTTTTCACCAAGTTGGGATGGGGGACAGGGCATGTGGCAAGCGTGGTCCTCTCCACAAGGAGGCTGGGAGGGTCCTCAGGTCAGCGATCCACTGCTGCTGAATCTCTTCAGCAAGATTAAGCCCCCCGCCAAGACGACAAACAGGGCGAGGGGCTTCATTCCTCCAACGGGGACCTGCAGGAAAGGAGACAGTGGACTGGGGTCAGAGATGCCACCCTGAACCCTGCCTTCCGCCCCCTCTGTGTCTGGCACAGGCCACAAGGGCATCGCGTGTGACATGACATCATTGTGCCAGTGACGCCAATCAGGTGGTGCATGTCCTTGACACAATTCTACCAGCCACCCCGAGGAGGCACGTCTCCCATCCTAAAATGGGAGATCACCCAAGTCAGTCTTCTGCTATGCCGTACCTCCAACAGCAGATGGGGCCTGTCTTAGGTACGTAGGGTCCATTTGGGGTCAGAGAGAGACAATTCTCTCAGTTCCTCCGTTCCTGCTTATTTCAAGTGTTCTTAATTTCAACGGTAACCGTTTAGCACTGGAAGCCTATCTTCGCATTAAATATCTGGGAATCAGAAATCCTGACCCACATGCACATACAGGCTGTGTTCGCACAACAGGCCAGGCTACCTCTAAAGGACATTGGGTACATGGTGGTTCAGGACAACCCCTGCTTTGTCCAAGTTCTTTGTGTGAACCAGGCCATCGCATTAAGCCCAGGACAGGTTATGTGTTGGGGGATCATGCATCGGGTCAACACAGCCATTGCATGTCGTTAACCAGGATTTAGGGTATCGTGTGCGTCAGGTGAACCCAGCTACTTATTATCCAGCATCAGGGAAGCAGCAAAAGCATCATGGCTAAAGGAATGCAGTGGCAGGAAGGAAGAACCTCGAGGAACAGGAGGAAGAGCCGCAACCCAGGCAATGGCCAGATAAAAGAAACCTGAGTCCGGGCCAGAACTGTAACCCGAGAAAGCGTCTCCGACAAGACCCTCCCTAGTTCTCACGAAGATTAAGAGGGGGGGAAGCAGATTCAGTCTTGCAAGATTCTGTTATTGTAACCTTATAATAAACATAGTACACGTAGGTCGCGATTAGTGCAAGGTGAAATAATGCAATATTCAATTTAGTGTGAATTGATACCAGGTCACGTTGAACGGGACCCAAAATTCAGTTAAAGTGAGGCCAGTGCATACACAATTGCAACTGAGGTTTTAAATGCTGCTAATCCTTGTTGGGACGCCTGAATCCGCAGTAGAATGTTTTTTGTTTTTACTTTGCTTTCCGTGACTACTCTGTGACTTTTGTTAACCATAGATTTAAATGATAAGTGCATTCTTTTTATCCTTTACTGTAACACGGCATTAATATACATATAAAAAAGTATGTTTAAATTTCTTCACTGCCTGTTTCCATCCAGCTGGAACCGTTTTCCATAGAAATATCACTTCAAAGAGCGTGGACTCAAACAGTGTGACCATTTCGTGGGATTCGCTAACTGCACTAATCGAGACCTACCTGTGTTACCGTTCATAACTTTGGTCTCCTAGTCTGGTCTACCTCGAAGGGCTGACTTCTGAAACCAGGGTTTTCCTGGATCAATACCGCCTCTGCCATTTCCCCAGATGACTGGCCTCCCGCCACTCACTGGAGGCTCTTGTGCAGAAACAGCCTCAGGATTACTGAACTGGTGCAAATGAAGCCGCGGACACTCTCCTACCACTACCGTGCCCTGCTACTCCTCCAGCTGCCTTAAAAGCAGGTCCTCCACTGGAAAATCCTTGCCTTTCTGGTGGCCTTCTAGCAACGGGTGGGGGCGACCTGGGCTGCCCTCGGGGTCTCCTTGAAACCCACCGGATAGCCTTCAATCACGCTGGAGCAAAGAGTGAACATCTGCCCTTGGGAGCTAAGAGGCGCTGGGCCCCCTTGGTCTTGGGAAGGGAGACCAGCCAGAAATCCCAGGCTGCTGAAAAAGTTGAGGGATGCCCTGGAGGAAGGCGACACCAAGAAAACTAAGCAGAGGGAAATAAAAAAAGTCAATATGGCGACCGCAGCCACATAATCGAAGCCGTGCCTGCTTTTCACACGCATTGCAACGCGCATAAAAAAAAGATGGGGCTTCAAGCCTATTGTTGCAGCCACCATCTTGCCTTTTTTGACCCCCCTGCGAAGATATGCCAGACTCAAGCCTGACTTAACACAGCCTTGACTTTAAAGGCAGTGAATGCAGGGCACAGAGTTCAACCCCAAACTGGGGAAGGGACAATTCAGGATTCTCCCCATCTTGCAGCTGGAGGCACTGAGGCTGCAAGAAAGAAACAGCACCTCCTGCACGGTGCAAACGGCAGCAATCAGCTTGTTACAGCTCCGTGTCATGTTCACCACATGGGTTTTCTGACCCTGATTGTCCTGCCTGGCCCCCAAAAGAGGGGCACCTCTGGTGTGACCTTCTGGAAGCGAATTAGTAGTGTCTGAAGTATCTGGAGACACCCACACCTCACACACATCCCTTCTGGTCCTTGGAACCTCCCCTACCTATCAAAATCTTCCTGCTGCAAACCAGAGAGGTATTTCCAGCAGCCAGGATGCACATTTGCTCTGCCCCTGTTTTTCTTCCTGGCCTGGGAATGCCCCCCCTCCGCCTCCGATGCCTTCAAGGCTTTTTCTTCTTTTCTCCCAAAATAGCAGGCCCAAACTATGGAAATTCACCCACTTCCATCGGTCACAGCGTTAACTGAACAGCTATAAACAGAGCTTAAATAAACAGAGAATCATCAATTCCCCTAAGGTGTTCCAAGAATCCAGAGGTGGTACTAGGTTGGAATAATGTAGTTCTGCAGCAGAGACATCCATAATGGAAGCCACCTTTATATTTCTACTTCGGGGGCTTTTATTCCCCCGAGTGCATTAAGCATACTTCAACAACACTAAAGTGGGTTGAGAAGCGCTATACAGATAGTCCTAGCTCAGCAACAGCAACTGGGACTGGGATTTCTGTCGCTGAAAAATGCAGTTGTAAAGCATGACTTAATGTGGCTGCGCTGCTTAGCAACGGCAGTTCCGGCACTTCCAGTTGCCGTCGTGAAGTGAATCCCGTGCCGTCTTTAAGCAAGGATGTCTCGTGGTTGCCACTTGCAACCTCCTGATGGCTTCCCCGCTGACGTTGTAGGAAGCCGGCAAAGAAGGTCACAAATGGTGACCACGTGACTGCGGGATGTTGCAATGTCATAAGTATGAGGATCATTCAGTAAGTCCCACTTGTTCAGCACTCTCATAAGTTCAAATGGTCGCTGAACAAGTGCTTGTTAAATGAGGACCACCTGTATTCTTATTCCAGCCTCAGCCAAATAGTTGAAGTGTTATAGCTTCATTTCAGGGTAAATAACAAATAAAGGAAAAATAAAGAGGAAATAGAAAGCTGCCAGAAGGGAAAGAGTGAGAATGTCTCTAAAACGGTGTCCATCACCCTTGGCAACTTTAAGGTGGGTGGACTTCAGCTCCCAGAATTCCCCAGCCAGCA